ATTTTGATAATAATTGTTAGAGGCCACATCATAATGGGCTATATATTTGCTAATATCATTTGTAATTGCTACTCTGCTCGCCAAACATTATTAATATGGTGATAAATATTAACACCAGCTCAGAACCTGCACAGTAGGGGTAAAAAATTTGTGATTCTATATCAACTATGCAAGCCATGAGTTGTAACTCAAATATTGATAATAAAGGTATGTGATTTGTTTATTTAAAAGAAATGCATATGATAACAATATGATAGTTTATGGCAAGGGTATAGTTTTGCGTAGATCAACGCATTTTAGGTTCACTCAGTTTTCATGCACATTATATATTATGTGGGCTTATTTAATTTAGCCAAAAAATAGCACAGCACCGCAGTTATTTTGGCTTGCACATGAGCTGCAACTATGTGAGTGTCAAAGGGTGTAAAAGCAAAGCAAATAAAGTGGGCGGAGTGGGCGGAGTGGGCGGAGATCAATAACATGTAATAGCACGTAACAAAGTGTGCGCTCGTCACGCGCGCAACGTAAAATCAGGCAAAAAAATAAAGCGAAAAAAACAATAAATCGATTCGCCTTCAAAATGCGGGAGGAAAAAATAAAAATATAAAGGACGAGGACGTGGAGGAAACATGGAAGGGGGTTTTCGGTCCTCGACTGCCACGCCAATAAAGCCAGAAATCACGCTGGGTGCATGCAAATCCTAAAAAGATTGCCGTGGAAAAATTCATTTCTCTTTTTTGGCCACGAGCAGAGACAAACAAAGGGAAACAAGTTAACTAAGACACGGAAGAGCCGGCGGGAAAATCTCCTGAAAATCTGGGTGTGGGCGACGATAAATTCATATAAATCGCGTTAATTTAACCGCAAGTTCAGTTTAAACAACTCAAATGGCTGGAAAAGCTGCTCCCCTGCTTTTCCGGCTGGACCCGCGCACCTAAGCTTGATAAAATGTCGCCGCAAAGCTCAAGACAAATAACATCCAGCCACCCAGCCAGCCAGGCAGCCAACTCCCCCAGAGTTTTCCTCCAGGAGTGCGGAAAAGAACGATTGGAATCTGGAGAAATTACGTTCTGAAATGTTTGCCACAATTTGTTGTGCTCCATAATGAGTTGCTTTGTATGCAAGGACAGACCTCCATCGTCTGAGCTCCAAATGGATGGAGCTCTGGTTGGCGCTTGGGCGGCCAAGAGGCCGTTTAAAGTTATCCGCTCGGCTTCGCATTTTAGCGCTTTTTGCCTCAATAATCCGGTCAAGTGTCGGCGGCCGGCGATTTTAATTGTTTGCAATTATTTTCACCGATTAATTGCACTTAATTGGGCCAACAGTAATTGCCCGCTAATGCTAGGCGATCATTCATAGATTTGCAACGCTTTCAAATGTTCACACCTCGGCAGTCAGTTGACTGCACTTCTGTAATTTGATGCCTTTAAGTTACATACCTATTAATATATATAACTTAATTTATTTATAAAAAGTGTGCGTTTTTTCTTTAAATAAAGAAAATTAAAGCTTTTTATAATGATGTGGTTACACTCATGCCCCAAATTATTTTTCACAAAAAGGGAATTATTTATCATTGGTGGGAGGCGCGTGGCATTGAAGCTAGACTTTTGGGGGCCAAACGGGCAATCAAGGCCGAAAGTCCCGACTTGGCCTCAACTTTCCTTTGATGGCTCATTTGAAGCTGCGAGTGCCAAGGGATTATTGTGTCCTTGCTCATTTAAGTTTGCCTTTAAAAGTTTTGCTCCATTCGCTGCTAAAAAAGTTGAATATAAACTTTGCTAAGGCTTCGCTGGCGCCGTCTTTTTTCCTCATTATAAACGATTCTCGTAGGTTAAAGGGTATATTAGGTTGGTTGGAAAGTACGTAACAGCTTAAAGCTCGATGGGAAACATACGTATATTCTGGATCAGGATAAGCCGAGCTGATCGAAACCTGAACTTCTGTCTGTCCGTGATCATAGAAAAAAAGTATCCCTCTAATATGCCAGCAACAAATAAGCATAAAATCGTATTAAAAGACACTTCCTTAAAGTTTTTCTCTGAAAGAAGTTATGAGATTTGAGTTATCATCACATTTATTTTAAAGTTAAGAGCACTGAATGCAGCCACCGCTAGGTGGACCCAGTGTGCAATCTCGGAAAAGTCTCCATTTCCCTCGTACTTCGTACTTCTTTTAGTTGAGTAACAGGTATCTGTAAATCGAGTAGCTTGAGTATGGTGTTTTTTCTTTTTGTTTCTTATATTGCTTTTAAAGGTGCGACCCAACAACCCTGGGAAAAAAGGGGTGGAAAAGAAGTCCCCCGGCGACATAAACGTTAATTGTTGTTGGTCATGACATAAGAGCCACCATAAGAATGGCCAACACAGCCAAATGACATTGCCAGCAAAACACAATTCTCGCTATGCATAAAGTGGGTTGGAGGGGTAGCAGCTCAGGCAGGCTTTTGCTAATGAACTAGCAAGGATATGCGGCGAATTGAACGTCAGCTGAAATCAAGTAGAGTGAAAAGGATTGGGCCACGTTTCTGCAGAAGGCCTAATCAAAGCGACAACTGAAATCCGCAACAAAACACAATCACACACTCCAAAAATACCCATATATACATACATGGTTATATATGTATAAACAACAAGGTCAAATAGTAGGAAAGCCGACCGAAATATTTACGGCTGACTGAACTGCTCCTTTCAGTGGGCCGGAAATCGCAACCGACTCGAATTTAAAATCCAATCAAGGAAAAGTAATGCCCACTTTACTGAACTCAAAACTCAGAACTTGCTTACATTATTTATCAAACGAATCGATTTTTAATTTACTTTTACGAATTGTGCCTTCACAAACCTTCTTTAATTTATTTATTCTGCAGTTTGTTTCCAGAATGTTTTAAAGTTTTTGCATTTCCACCACATGTTCAGTGGCTTGAAACAATTTGTATGGCTGTTTTGTATTATTATTATTCAGCTAAATATTTCAAAAGCCATCATAAAAAGAAATGACATCTGCTATAAAAGGACCCGCACATGTTAGCTCCTCATGAGTTGACAGTATCGAAATGACATCCCAAAATAAGTAGCACATATCATTTTAGAACCGAAAAAAGCGGACCCAGTGAGGCAAAAACTGAAATCAAACCGATTCAATGACAAAAGTAAACAAATGAAAAGCCAATGGAAGCCTTACATGAAAACCCATTAATCTTGGCTCTGACGCAATTCGCACACAGGTGAAAAGCAGGTGAGGAGCAGGTGAGGAGGGGACAGATTAGCCACATTGTTGTGCAATGGCCAATCAAAAGGCGACCAGGAACACATGAGATGATAGCGTCAGTTTGCTCCAAGTCCCTGTTCACCTGTGGCTTTTCCTTTCTGCTCGCGATATTTAATGCGATTTAATGTACGTATATGTAGGAGAGTCACTGTCATGGTTTTTAACATCTTCTTTGAATGACAAAACATTTATTTCTTTAGGTATTGCCATTCCTATCATAAAAACCCAATTGTTGCAGCGTCATTTCAAATGAATGAGCAAGTTTTAAAAATGCTTTACGATAAGGCAGGCACAAAAAAAATGATTATTGAGTCGAGATTAGAAATTATCAGGCATCTGTGCTGACTCGAAGTATAATTGCGAAATATTCCCAACGGAAATTTGGCGAAAACTCATAATTTTGAACTGCTATATCAACATATTAAACGTGCTGCTTTTAACGAATATAATTCGATTTAAGCATTAAGCTTATAGTGGAATTTATGCAGTAGATCCCAATATAATCAGCGTTAATACATCATGCATTGGATGAAAACAACAACAGCAACTGGCATCATTTGTATTACTTAGTTGTAAGGACACCCCTCCACATCCTGCAACGTTTTTCAGCTCCTGAAATTATTTGTTTTTTGCCTTTCCACTGGAGGACGAGCTCGACTGACAAAACACTCCCATGTCGATGGGTGGAGCGAATGAAATTTAAAACCGAGACGCCTTTTTAATGCATGTGTACTGCGCACGTCTTCCTTAGTGGAATTAAATTAATGACAAACAATTCCTCATTGTCTTTTCGCTGGTGCGTACTTAGCACGCGCCGGAAATGTATCCATATCCGCTTGAAATTTTTCCATTGTTTTCTTGCTGCACACAGAAAGTCGTTGTAGCGGCGATAAAGAGCGCCTAATGCACTCGAAAACGAGATCCCATGAATATTTCAAATACGACGTTTTTTTTTTAAAGATATGATTGCATATTTAAGAACAATAGTTTTCAATCGACATTTACACTTTTCAGGCATTACTGTGCATAATTGTTCTGCATAAAAAAATGTAACACGTTTATTACATCGAATAACCCTTACTTGTGGAAATAAGCCGTGTATTCACATTTTCTTTAGGAAGATGAAGAGGAGTGAAAGGCCTTTTTTAAAGTGTAGAAGCCGTAGAAAAGGGTGGCAATGTGGAAACAACAAGGCCTGGAACCAACAACAAATCGCCCTTAAGTGGCGGCAGTGAAGCTCCGCTAACTGCGAACGGCGAACTGTCGAAGGACCGCCATTAGGCCCAACACTTGGCCAGGACATGGGATCGCACATTAGCAGTCGTAAAACTTATGGCCAGGGCCAGTGCTAACTATTAGCCATCATTGACAGCTGTGTCCATGGTCATCGTGTCCTGCGAAATATCTTTAATTTGCCGTTGGCTTTGTCCACTCACAACCAATGGGAAAGTTAAGAATAATCTATAAAAAATGTTACGCATATTTGGATTGCTGCCACAAATTTTATAAAACAGTAGGGCAAAAGTAAAAAGTTGCTAAATGTGCTTATGGGCTTTATTCTCCGAGTTCCAACTTCTGATTGTGCTTACCCAATCGCTTCTAAATTCTTTTAAAATATTATCGCATTCCCAATAATATATGTATGTAAAGCTTTTCAAACACATTGTCTGTAAAAAAGTAAAAAAAAAAAGAAATAAAGCTATACAAATTATTCGTAGAGCCTCAATATAGTTTGGTTATCCACGCAGAACGTTTCCAGCTCTCGAATGGAGTTTAAATTGTTAGGTATATTTCTCGTTTTGAGCTTGTTAAAATTCGAATCGGTTTATACAGACTTTAATGAAACTGAAGAGAAATCAGTGATAATCAGTTATAACAATTTTAACGTTGATGACGATCTGTGGCACTTCATTCGGATTTGTTGCCCTCGGAAGAATATGTTGGCCAATGGCGGTTGTAGTTTTAAGGAGCGGCTCTTCCGAACAAAACTTTATTTAAACATAACACTCGAGGACAATTCGACAGAGGCCCTATATTTCATCAATCAAACCCTGCTTACAAGCCCGTTTTGGGATATCGATGAAATGATCGGCCTGAGCAGAGATGAGTACACTTTGTACAAGGTACAGATCTAGATCTATCCTATATTTTCTTGCCTATAAGACGGAACAGATAGGCATAATTCCGATCAATTTCAGAACGGAACCATATATATTCACTCCGATCAGAGGCTCAAGAGCAAAGAAGAATACTGCTTTTATCCCCATCAGATTTACTCGGACTTCCCAGAAACCATATGGATTATCTTACACGAGTGGTCACTTATAGCGATACCAGGAGCTAAACAACGTACGACCATGTCTACAAAGAAAACTTTCCGTATAACTTTTAACTCTCAGAGTTTTCTTTAGTCACATCAGTTTCGCTAGTATGCTATATCTTCACAATAGGCATTTATCTTTTCGTAAAAGAACTACGAAATGTCTTTGGAATGTGCCTAATGAGTTTCATATTCTGCATATGTCTAGCCTACATAATCTGGCTTATAAATGCATTAAAATTGTTGGGTGACTTTTGCTCACTGGCAGGTTAGTGGTTAAAAGATTCTAATTTTGGAAAAGCATAATACGAAAATAAAGGGAAAATGATACTGATCTTATGTTTCGTAGGTTATATGTGGTACTTCCTTGACGTTGCCGCTTTTTTTTGGCTCTCCATAACCAGCTATTGTTTATGGAAGAATATCACAGCGGTCGATCGCCAAGAATATCGCCATCAGTTCCTGTATTACAATATCTTGGTCTGGAGTATATCTGCCATCCCAGTCGGAATCATCTTTCTGATAAATCAGCGTTGGGAAGAGGATCTTCAGAAATGGAACTGGTTGCCCTTAGTTGGCTTCAGCAGATGCTTTGTGGAGGGTATGTATCTATGGCAGAAGTCATTAGTAGATAAGTATTGACTTATCACACCTTTCAACACCAATTCACAGTTTATAAGTGGTCTTCATGGGCTTTTTATCGGGGACCCTTTACGATCCTTACTGCGATTAATATTTTTATGTTTCTTCTGACTATCAAAGACATAAAAAAAACAAAAAGACAAATCAATAAGTTATCAAATCGACCAAATGGGACACCAACTTGCCTTACTATCGATTTTCAAAAGTATGTTAACAATAACCTCGAAGCTTATGATCCGTTAATATAATTACTGCATCTTTCATTCAAGGAACCTAGTCTATCTGCGTATCTTCGCCATTATGGGCGGAACTTGGACACTGTTCTTTATTTCGTTGATAGAATTGAATACCAAATTTTGGAATATTTTCGTTTTACTAATCCATTGGTTCCATTGTGGTTTTGGGATCGTTATATGTGTGCTGCTTATTTTTAAGGCCAGCACCTATCGCCTGCTCACTAACAAGTAAGATCTCCTCAAATTCTTATACCCGTTACTCGTAGAGTAAAAGAGTGTACAAGATTCGTTGAAAAGTACACAACAGACAGAAGGAAGCGTTTCCGACCATATAATATCTATATTATTGATCAGGATCAATAGGCGAATCGAACTGGTCATGTCCGTATGAACGCCTCGACCTCAGGAACTACAAAAGCTAAAATGTTGAGATTAAGAATGCAGCTTTCAGATACATAGCTGCGTCTTTGTTTGTTTCCAAATGTTGCCACGCGCACTCTGCCGCCCACAAACCGCACAAAACTGCCACGCTCACACTTTTAAAAAATGTGATATTTTTCCTTTTTTTTATATATTTTGTAAATTTCTATAAGTTACCAAGAATAAGTTTACCGGTATTTCTACCGTCATGCCCAAACTTTTGAAAAATTTTTATTATTTTTAATTTTTTATTTTTTTTTTCGCAAGTTTTACCGATATTCCAGAAAATTATGAAATTTCTCGTTCGCACTTCCACTAGCTGAGTAACGGGTATCTGATAGTCGGGGAACTCGACTATAGCATTCTATCTTGTATTTTCATTAATAATATAAGTTTATTACAATCAGAATTCGTCGTGAGAACTTTTGACCACAGCCCGATGCACAAATCATATTTGATTAATAAGGAACTAATAAAATTCAACATTGTCTATTAATAATTTAATTATACCCTATTTTTATTTAAATTATAATTGATTTTCTACTGTTAAATAAATTAAATGTGGCGCCAAAATCCATAACCAGTTTAAGTTGCTACAATAAGGGCTTTGGTTCGTTTAGAGAAGACTTTGTGATTGATTTACTTACTTTTTTACACTAGCTTTCTAATAAGAAGGATTATTGCATTCTTAATTAAAAAGTAAACTAACTGGTCATATGTGCAACAGTATCACAACAAGTTCACAACTGTTTCTCTGGGCTTCATTTTTCATGTTCCAACTTTTGCTTGTCCGTATCCCAATCGCTTCTAAATTATTTTGGAATATTATCGCATTCCCAGTTATGAATATGTACAACCTTTCAAACATATTATTATTCCAATTTCCATATGTACCAATATCATGTCCTTAGGGAACACGGTCATCAAAACGAGTTCTCTGTTCGGCAGATTGAATTAGAAATAATGCTATGCGAATTATAAAAGTTATTCGGAGTTTGGTTATCCACGCAGAACGTTTCCAGCTCTCAAATGGAGCTTAAATTGTTAGGTATATTTCTTGTTTTAAGCTTGTTAAAATTCGGAGCGGTTCATACAGACTCCAATGAATCTGTAGAGAAATCAGTGATAATCAGTGATAACAATTTTAACGTTGATGACGATCTGTGGCACTTCATTCGGATTTGTTGCCCTCGGAAGAATATGTTGGCCAATGGCGGTTGTAGTTTTAAGGAGCGGCTCTTCCGAACAAAACTTTATTTAAACATAACACTCGAGGACAATTCGACAGAGGCCCTATATTTCATCAATCAAACCCTGCTTACAAGCCCGTTTTGGGATATCGATGAAATGATCGGCCTGAGCAGAGATGAGTACACGTTGTACAAGGTACAGATCTAGATCTATCCTACATTTTCCTAGGCAGGAATATAGATAAGACAGAACAGAATAATTCCGATCAATTTCAGAACGGAACCATATATATTCACTCCGATCAGAGTCTCAAGAGCAGAGTAGAATACTGCTTTTATCCCCATCAGATTTACTCGGACTTCCCAGAAACCATATGGATTATCTTACACAAGTGGACATCAATAGTGATACCAGGAGCCTATGAGCGTAAGGCCATGTGTATAAGGAAAACTTTCCGTATAACCTTTAACTCTCAGAGTTTTCTTCAGTCACAGCAGTTTCGCTTATATGCTATATCTTCATAATCGGCATTTATCTGTTCGTAAAAGAACTACGAAATGTCTTTGGAATGTGCCTGGTTAGTTGCATATTCTGCATATTTCTCACCTACCTGATCTGGCTTATAGATGAATTAAGATTCGTGGATGAATTTTGCTCACTGGCAGGTTAGTGCATTAATATTTTTTAATATAGGAGAAGCATCAAAAGTTAAGGGAAATTGAGGCTGAATTTATGTTCCGCAGGTTATATCGCGTACTTCTTTAGTAATTCCGCTTTTGCTTGGATGTCAGTAATCAGCTATTGTTTATGGAAGAAAATCACAGCGGTCGATCGCCAAGAATATCGCCATCAGTTCCTGTATTACAATATTTTGGTCTGGAGTATATCTGCCATCCCAGTCGGAATCATCTTTCTGATGAATCAACGTTGGGAAGAGGATCTCCAGAAATGGAACTGGTTGCCCTTAATTGGCTTCAGCAGATGCTTTTTGGAGGGTACGTCTCTATGGCAGAAGACATTTCAAAGTATTAACCTATCACTCCTTTCAACTCCAATTCACAGGTTATAAGTGGTCCTCCTGGGTTTATTATCTAGGGCCCTCTACGACTATTTGTGCCTTTAATGTTATTATGTTCATTCTGACTGTCAAACACATTATAAAAACAAAAAGAGAAATCAATAAGTTAGCAAGTCGACCAAATGGGACCCCAACTTGCCTTACTATCGATTTTCAAAAGTAAGTTAACAATAACCTTGAAGCTTATGATCCGTTAATATAATTACTGCATCTTTCATCCAAGGAACCTAGTATATCTGCGGATCTTCGCCATAATGGGTGGATCTTGGATACTGTTCCTCTTTTCGATGGTAGAACTGAATACCGACTTTTGGAATATTTTCGTTTTCCTAATCCGTTTATTCCATTGTGGTTTTGGGATCGTTATATGTGTGCTACTTCTTTTGAAGCGCAGCACCTACCGCCTGCTCATTAATAAGTAAGTTCTCCTCAAATTCAAATTTTTTCTTTAATAATATGAGTATATTACAATCAGAATTCGTGGAGAGAACTTAAACCGACAGCCCGATACACAAATGATGTTTGATATATTAGGAACTCGACATTAGATGGTAATTATAGGTTGGCATTAGTTTATATTATCAGTAAACTGTATACACTCACATCTGCACCATGTACACTGTCAAAAGAATTGGAATATATCTATATATATAAAATATAATTATAATTATTGTAAGTAATATAATTTAAATTAAACGACATAAGAGGTATATTAACAATCGTTGATAACGTGGTTAACCGAAGGCATTGCTTAAACAAAATACATATGTATTTTATCTCTTAGCAGATATGCGCTAAATGTTATAACAAAAATAGCCCTACAAAACAGTTTTATTTAACTAAAGTTTTTTTGTTTGCATAACACTGGCTTTCTAATTAAAGGGACCTGGATAAGGCTTTAAGCTGTTTGTACCCGAATGGGTTTTTTATTAAATCGTATGGTACTCTCACATTTTATGTCTCTGGTGAACAGCTGGACGCTTTTCTCGCCGGTTACATGTGCTCCCACAACGAAAAGCAATTGAAAGCAATTTACTTTTACCATTTCCCAGAAAAAAATTACCAAAAAATATCGAGAACCACGGCACATTGTCATTTATTTCGGGTAATGATAAATGCGAATTTCTTTCTTCGCTTTCGTTTGCATTGAACTGGAAATGTATTTTGACAGGCGAGCGAATATATAAATTGCCGGCAAAATTTATTTGGAGAAGGCCAAAGTCGACTTACCTGGCCATGTTATGTCCTTGAAAGCTTTCTACTACTGTTTGTCCTTCGTTGCGGTCGCAATTTCAAGTGAAATCAACATGCAGGATGACGATGGTGCTGCTCCTTCGGCTCCAGCTCCTTTTAATCCTGCTTCCTAGTCTGCTGCCGACTTTGTCCCAATATCCAGACGAAAGGCAGCCACTTAGATCGTTTGTCCCTGTCTTTTGGACCTGTTCCTCTCCCTTTCTCAGCCTCAGATGGTTGATTGAGTTTGAGATTTATGCCTTAAGTGCTGCTGGGGGATTTGTTATCTTGTCCTTTTCGGCCTGGCCTATACGCATATCGTTTGTTTGCCTTGCTCTCCTTTCTGTGGCTCTGATTCCGCTGAAAATGGTAGAGCAGGAACAGTTTTATAGTGATGATGATGCTGATGCAGATGATGATGATGATGGTGCTCTGCGGCTTCCTTTTTGCTTTCAATTTACATAAGCAGCAGCATCATTAATATTGCAAATGTGTGTGTGCATGCACGGCTAAAAATAATGATGTAGTACCAAAATCTTTGTACGAAATTGCAATTAAAATGATAAATTTTGTAATAATGTTTATACATAGACGAATATTTTATCATGCTTCTTTTTCTCTACCTACTATTTCCTGGCTTTAAGTTGGATAAATAAGTTAAATATCCATATGCTTGCTGATGATCACTTATCCACTCTTATTCATATTAAATAATATCTCCCCCATTTAATGAATTAATCTTATTTTTTCTGTGTCCATGCGTGCCTGTTATTGTTTCCTTTTGAGTTCGCTTTGAGCGCTTCTGTAATTTCATTTCCATCCCTAACAAATTTAGCTCGTTGCCGACATTTATCATACGCCCTGTGTGCCATGCGTTCTTTCCACCATAAATCACTCACTTCTGCACGGCTCCCTGTGCCCTTGGGACTGCGATTCTCCAAATAAAAATGACCAAATGCAATTATAATACGCCATCCAAACAACTTTTAATGCCAACTGACAGCTGCCCAAAGTCTGTTCATCGAAATCGTTGTGTGTTGTTTTATGTTTATGGCCGAATGTTATGGATTGCGCCTTGATTGATTGTTTAGGCCGGATTGTCCAGCTTAAAGAAGCTGGTTTGGGAAAAATCGAATTTTTAGAAAGCTAGAATCGCTAGAAAACTAGAAAAACAATTTTTTTTTACATTGCATTATTGTTTGTCCACATGTTTCCACCCTTTGGAATGTTTGAAACTTAAATCAATGTTCCATATAAACAGAAGATGTACTATAGAAAGCCCAAAAACACGCCCATTACCAGAACTCTTTTATGGCCGCCCCGCCCCCTTTCTGTGTCCCTGGAGAAAGGGCTCGATTAGGGGGCGGTGGGAGGGGGCGTGTACTATCAGCTGTTTCCCATTATGACTTCAGCGGAAATACACAAGCAAGTGGAAAACAGTCGAGGAAAAGCGGAAGCAAAAAAAGCCGCCAGTGGCAATGGAAACACAGTAACACACTGAGACACAAGGAAAACTCGCTTACACACGCAAGGCGATAAAAATAAAGCGAGAGGCAAAAATTGGAACTAAATGCGTATACGTAATGTGTTAGAACCCACACACAAAAAAATGGGAGCTACAGAGTGATAAAACAATGGCGACGTTGACGACGGTGTTGGCACTTCTCAACAAACCAAAAATAAAGGCCAACAGCAGGATGAAGCTTTAAACAGTTTTCTTTGGAAAATTTCCTATAAACTCAAGTTCAAAGAGAAGTAAAAAAAGGCCTATTTTTGTATGCAGAAATCACGACGATTCCGTTTTAGTTGCGAATAACTATTTCCCTGCCTCTTTGTAGTTCACTCGATAAGGTTGAGCAAATAATGGCAGCAAAAAGCAGAATCGAAAGGAAAAACAACTTTTCGTGCAAATGCTGTGGTGAAAATCGAAAACCCAGAAAACCGAGAAAAGCGAAAAGCGAAAAGCGAGAAACAAAAATGCTATAACCACACAAACTCACTCATACAGACACATAAAGCTACTTAAGCCCGGACACATCGCACACATTCAAGCGAATCAATGGGGAACCTCCCTAACAGCTGCCATGGCAAACGTGCGACAGGGACGGGCGATGGGGGCGACAGAGACGGGCAGAAACAAACAGTGGGACACGGAGCTTGTCACTTTATTTGGCTCGATTTCAATGCACTGCCGACTTGGGCATATTAGTATGCAAAACTGATAATCAATAGGCGACGACTCAATGCCCGACGCTCAGTAGAGATTATGGCGCAATTTGCATACGGGCATGTGCCAGTCGAAGATGTCGCCACCCGTATCCCTTAGCCAGGGAAATCCCGTCCCGAAACTCGTCCCCTTGATTCCCTCCAACGAAGGACTCGGTGTCGTTTAATTGAGCCGGACCATTGCAATTGGCCCAACTGACAGCGCGATTTTTTGCCCTTAATTTAAGTGGGGGATAATGACTCTAAAAAGCTTTCACTGATTGGAATGTCCATGAATTGCATGGATCAAACATTTGAAAGTGCAAGAAAGTAGCGAAACGCATTCTTTGTAAATCTGAAACCAATGCTAATTGTCGAACCAGCAAATTGCGTTTCTTAATTACTTATCTTATAAAACTTGAAAGATGAACTTTCATCGATCAGTTAAACTCGTCATCAATGTAGCAATACATTTATTTTGAATAAATATTATAGGTATATTTTAGGTAAATTCTTTTAACGTTCTTCCCCAAACATTTATTCATCGACATCTGGACGAGAACTTTTGTACCAATTGCTTTCCTAATATTTATGAAAGGAGAGCTGCAAATACCATAAATATGAAATGCTATACCTTTCATTGGTTCCTTACGACCTCTACGCTGAAAATTTTCAATAACTCTCCGGGGATTTTATGGTCGCAATTTGCAATTTATCATCAATTTGATGTGCAAAGGGTCGTACATAAAAGTGGCCCAAATGGTGAATGTAACAAAGGGCAATAAAGGCGTATATGGCTGCACCGGGCGGCTGACTATCCCCCAACCAGATCCATAAGCGTAAAGCTTGATTTTCCATTGATTTCTGGTCAGAAGTTCGCTCCTATCACCTGAAATCCTGAGTCAAATGCACCTGCTGCTCCTACACGAGGAGAAATATCCCACTAATTGATTTCATTCTCAAAAGTTGCTGCTAAGCAGGAAAGTTGAATTAGTGTGGCAGAGCTTGAAAGTACTTAACTTTATTGATTGATTTATTGATTGTCCTCATAATTAAATTGATTTCATAAATACAGTGTGCTAAAGTTATTGAGCATTTGACTGTAGAAGCAGAAGGGATTGGTACTACAATTTTCTTCAAGTGTTCCTGAGTTAACTCTTCAGCAGAATAGCAAAAACTATAGCATACTTATGGGCCGCTTTGAGAGTTGGCGTAAGACGCTTAATAACTGTGAGTAGTGCCCAGCAGAGGCATGGCTGTGCTGTGCAAGGACATGGGCGGCGAATTGAGGGTACTCCGTCCGATGTATGTACGTGCCAATGGCCGTAGTCGCAGTAATAAACACACGCACAGCCCAGTTAACACAGAAATATGCCCCAAGTGTCAGGGCGGGCAAAACATGCGATGATGAGTGGGGAAAGCGGTGGGAAATGTGAGGGAAGGCCCAAGGAAATGGGAAATGGATTTTCAGTGGCCTTTGTAATTGTTGTTTTTTGTATTATTCTTGTTTTTCATTGTTTTTTATTTGTTTTTTTTGTATAATTACTGCGATAGAGCTGGTTTTTCTGTGTGTGGTGTATTGCTGTGCTGTGGTAAGCACACATAACGGTAATTTAATTAACATACATAAACACTCACACCGGCACACATAAGGAGAATGTGGCACACAAAGAAAGGTGTAAGGTATTTGGAAGGGGGTTTACTTTTATGGGCACTTACGTATTGGTTTCACAAACTTTTCGACCCTTTGTAATCGATATTTAAATGGGGGCTTAACGCGACTTTAATTTAGATATTTCAACTTTCGAAAAGCACTTGACAACTTAAATTATTTGCAATAATTTGAATTCTTGATTTGATCAACAAGCGCACACAAATTTAGGCTATACTCTTTATGCATTTAGAATTTTGTATATTTTTTTACGATTTAACTATTTATCTCTGGAGGTGTGTTTACAGGTTTCCTTTTTTTTTTTTTGATTTTATTGTGTCGGCTTTTGGCTGCTTCGCCGCCGGATGTTGCACGTTTTGCCAGCACTTCCGCTTCCTGTTTTGCGAACGAACCAACCGTCGAGAAACGCGTTCCGCAAGCGAATAAACAAACGGACTTCCACCGCACTTTTTGTCGCACTTCCACGGCCAGTGTTGCCGTGCTGCAAGTCCTGCGCAGTGCGAAATCGAGAGAGTTAGGCCAAGGAGAGAGCTACTTGCTCTCTCCCGCTCTCTGCTACGTGCAACCTGCTGACGGAACATCTGTGTTTTTGTTATTATGCTTTTGCCACGACAACAGCAACAGCAACAACTGCAGCCATTCAATTGCAATTGTGGCAACTGAACATCCAGGTATGTCAATTGCACTCACTCGTGTGTCGGGGTCACCGAAATAAATGCCGACTAATTGATGGCACACAAACGATTTACGGACTCATTTTGATTGATTAATGCGAACCGTACATATGCAAGTCCTGTAATTAATTTGGTTTGACATTCATTCCGAAAGGGAACGAAGCAAAGAAATCAGAAATGTAACGAAATGCTATTGCCTATTGCCTAAGAAAGTAGTAATCATCAGAAATATGAACTATGTGTAAAACAAAGAAGTAAAATTTATAGATAATCTGTTTTTCCAACATTATAGAGCTTAACAAACATTTTTCTTTTCGATATCATATTACATTAAAATGACAATTAACATTTACACATTAATAATAGACAGTTTGAAGAAACCCGTTTTTCGAGGCACAAATGTCTGGCTAGGACAGCTCAAGTACAGTGCCTTTTTTGCAGGACGATTTGCACACAAGTGCAGGATTTTGTGCCTCGTCGACGGTGCTGCTTAATGTCAAGGTTTTTGGCTGCTGTTGCAAGTGCAGCAGGAAAAACAGAAACGAGAACGGCACGTGGCCTGCCCCCCAAACGAAAAGGGGCCAGAAAGAGGGTCGATTATGCCATTACCAGGGCAATCCTGCTCCCCTGGATCCCCCAACCCCCGAACCCCCTGCCTGTGCCGCGCATGAATGAGCAAAAATGCCGCGACAGACCCGATTCGAAAGCCAATGTCAAGTGCACGCGGCACAAGGATATGCAGGCAGAATACGAGGCACATTACAAGCACCATTGTACCCCGCAGTCAGTTTCCCCTCCCCCTGCCCTAAGCAGCTACAGTGAAGCTCCTAATAATTGAACTTAAGCTTTCATTAATATTGGCAATCTTTTATGCGCACTGGTGTATGAGTACTCGTTTATGCTAACAGCAGTCAATAGGTAAATGTGTTTATTTAGAGCAAGGACACAATGTCCTTAACCTAAATAGTTAGTACACATAATTCAGAATTCCATATGTGGCGTAGACAAGCGCCACTGTACCTCCACAGGGAGCATTAGAACGGTCGGTGTGGCGACCTCCAAATTGGATGGCACACTCACCTAAATGGGAGGGTATCTATATTTTATGTGCCATCGATTGCAGTCAATTGCCCCTTGTTCGCAGTCCGTCCTTATACCCGAAAAATGTCTCATGCACTGTGTCCTGGCAACAAATTATTGTCCTTATTGCACACACCAGGCCAATTTCTCATGAGCACCAATTAGTGACTAAATGCTCAATATTTGCCAATATCAAACATCAGGTGCTTGAGCAATTAGCTCGTTAATTAAGAAAATAAACACAGTTCAGACAAGCGATTCTAAGGCTAGGTGAGATTATTCAGCCTATTATTAGATTACCACTTATTGTAGATGGAAGAACATTAAACAATGTGATCGAATTAGTACGCAAATTCTTTACAGCTTTTGCTAAAACCAAACTGGCATGGCACATCAGTTGTTTAATAAGAGTACTTCTCAATAAGTCGTATTAACTACGTAATACAAAAAAAATGCCAGCACAAAATCTAGCATAAGATAAAAACTATTCTCATTTGATATTTATTCAATGTTTTGTATTATTTCATGTAAGTTTTGAACTTATTTATAATAGATAACCTATTGTGAATAAAATACAATTGTTTTGTTTTTTTTTTTCTGAGTGACTTTCAGCTGCAGAGGATTGGCTGCTTGGCATAACTTGTTTGTTACTTCTTAAAATTTCTTCAAAAACTCTGCATAACTTAAGACTAAACTCATAATTCCGGCTAGTTTCGAGAACGAATTTCCAAGGACTAAAATAAATTACATGTGGTCTACTAAAACTAGGATCTACACCTAAGGAAGATGTCAGACCAGTCCGTTTACGACCAGGTCTTGGGAACACTGAACGGCCCGAATCGCTGGTGACTATCAACGCCCCGAACAGCAAAGTAATACCTCTGGTTCTCCTGGAACTGATTTAGAGTTACGGCCATAGGCAGCAACATAGCGTTGACATCGCCCACATGCCGCCAGCTATCCGTGCTGGGCTCGTGAATCGTCTCCTGGTATGCATAGATCTGGTACGTAACGCACTCTGCGAACCGCGGGCTCGTATCCTCCAGCGTCCAGGATATAACGATGCCAGTGTCAAGGAGACTTATCCGGATAACTGGTCGCGATGGAGGCACTTTCCAGGATGGATTAAAGGTCTGGGCGGGAGACGTTGGCAATGGCGCGGGATGTGAATATCTTAAACGGGAGGCTGCTGGCGGGGTATTCTCCGAGCGTATCTGCATAGTTACGTTTGAGCCCAAGGAACTTCGCTGACCTTTCGGTAAGTTTGACAATTAGTACGCTGAATATTTAAGATGTAATCATTTTCCAGCTTACCTCCTCCATTATTCTGAACTAACTGTCGCGCATTAACGCGACCCAATTGCATTGGAGAAGCTCGCACCACATTTCCACCTCCGCGTCCTCCTCTTGCCGCTGCTGCAGCCTGAGCATTCCGCTTAACCGCCGCATTGGATGCCTGACGCAAGCGAGCGTTAGCCTCGATTTGAGCCTGGGCAGCCCTTGCCGCCGCCGCAGCCGCTGCATCATCCTCATCTGTGAGGTCAATGACTGCCTTCTCCTTGGGCTTGGCCGGCGCCAAGCTGGGCTGCTGCTGCTGTCCATAGCTGCCAGATCCCGACCCACTGCCGCTAGATGACATGGGAACTGAGACCGTGGCCCCCGAAAGAGGTGACTGCTGGGCGCGCACTTTCGTCGTGCACTTTGGCACGTGCTTGGCGGGACTCGGTCCTGGGGTGGTGGAACCGGGACCAGGTCGAGGTCTGCAATGTGAAACAATTGTAAGTTAGTAATATGAATATGTCAAGTTTCTGTTGGCGAAGAATATGTATTTATACGGACGGACAAATATACGGACGGACAAATGCATGGACGTACAAAGGGACGGACGAACATAAAAAAACGGATTCGAATACTATTTCGGTTGATTACCCTAACGAGTACTTTTCAAAAACAATTTTTTCGACACTTGAATGCTAAAAAACTAGGCTGTTTTCTGAATCTTTTTACCTAATTGAGTTTGTAACGATTTCTAGTGCACAAGTGTGGAATTCGCTTTTAATCTAAGAGGACGACCAGGATTATACTCACGGTTGGAACTGTTGCTGCGGCTGTTGCGGTTGTTGCTGCTGTTTCTGCGCTAAGTAAGCGGATGTTGAGTTCCGGCCACGCATGACGGCTTTGTTTGTCGCATTAGCCGCCGTGGAAGGTGCGGAGCCAGTGGTTCCGGTGTGCTTGGATGCGTGCATTGTCCTCTGGGCTACAGGCGGTGAGGACTGCAGACGGTGAGCGTTGGCCTGATTGTTGACCTGTGGCACCTGTGGCGGTATGTTACCAGGTACCGGTCGCTGGGGCGTGACCTTCTGCAGGCAGCCCCGGCGCACAGGTTGCGTAACACTAGCCGCGGTCAAGGATTGCGATGACCGTGCTGGCTGCTGTGGAGGATTGGAGTTCTGAGAGGCACTGGTGCCCGGACCCGTGGCGGATGAGGATGTGGATGGTCCAAAGGCAGGCGGAGGAGGTGGTCTTGGTCGCATTGTCGATCGCAAAGGGCTGGTGCTGGCCTTGGGTGGCGTTCCACTGGGCGGCGCCAACACACTGCCAGCAGCATGAGATGGCTCCGGAACGGCGACCGCGGGCTTTATGGCCTTGAACGGAATGCCCACCTGAAGACCAACAGCTCGCGTTATCCGCACAGGAGCAGTGAAATGGGAGTTTTTAGCCTCCAAGTCTTTAAGCACCCGCTTGTGCACCGTCTCCAAATCCAGGAATTGCTTCGACACTTCGGCAATCTTGCGGCGATAATTGGCGAGAGTGCTCTCGCATTTGTCCAGCTGCATACGGATTTCTGCGAAATCACTTTTAATCAACATCGCCTCGACAACTTTTTGCAGCACCAGCTCCTCCAGGTCGTCACGGGTCATTGTGTCGAAATTCCGTCTGAAGGTCCTAAAGAATTCCAGGCGCAGGGGCTTAACATCCTGTTTAATTTCGGGAACAGGTCTAAGGTCGAATTCGGGTTTCTTTTCGACTTCTTGTTTGGGGGATTCTTCTTTTTTAGTCTTCACATCGTCTTCCTGACCATCCATATCAATTTGTAGCGTGCCTTCATGGGAGCTGTTTGAGTCAGAGTCATCAGTCTTAACTTTCTTATTAGGTATCTCCTCCTGAGGGCTGTCCAGATCATCATGGCTCCGCTTGGTTACATCCTTTACAACATCCTCTGCTCCGCTGAGTTTTGAGGATGCTTCTTGTTCCGTCTGCGCTTCGGGTTCTATTTTTTCATCGGTACTGAGACGCAGACGTTTTGGAGCCGACTGTTCCGTGTACTCGGCAGGACGCAGTAGATTACTGGAATTACTGTTCCCATCCTCTGTGGCAGTTGGCTTCACCGTATCATGGGTCTTCAGTTTCTCAAACTGATCGCAAGCATTGTCGGAATTGTCTATTTGCAGGTCTTTAGCTTCAGCTGATTCTGTAGCGGACTCATTGGAAACACCTTTTAAAGCTGTTTCCTTTTGGCAAGTCTGAACTTCCTTCTCCGGTATCTTAGCCTGGGGTGTTTCATCCTCATCCTCGGAGACAAGAACAACTTCGTCATCCTTAGCTAGTGGTTTCTCAGAATATTCATTCGTTGACTTTGCTGAAGTTTCCACTTTTTCGGTCTTCTCGAGGGGTTCAAAGAAAATGACTTCGTCATCGGACTCCGTTTCTTTGGTCTCCTCTTCAACAGCCGTCGTTTTCTTGCTTTCCAAATCCTTTATATTGTCATCAGTTGAAATTTCGCATTCTCCATTTATAGTGGGTTTATCGTTTTCTGATATAACCGCAGGTTTATCGTCTGCAGCCTTTTTTTCTTCGATCTCTACCACATCCTTGTCCGCTTCTATAAGCATACCATCTATGGTTGTGTCATTCATTGCCTGGGTTTGAGTTTGAGCCTCAACATCAATTTGGTCCTCCTTTTTGGGATCTTCTGTTTCTTCTTCTTCGACCTCCACGGGTTCTGGCTTTTCTGTTTCCTTTACACCTTTCACCTTTTGGGTTGTGTTTGGATCTTCCTTTCCCTTGGTGTCTCCTTCCGACTCTTCTATTATTTCGATCTCCAAATCTTCATTTTCCTTCGCCTTTTCCGCATTTGTTGTTCCTTTGGGCTTTTCAGGCTCTTCTCTTTCGTTGTGCTCTTTGATTCTTTGTAAGGATTCTTTGGACTCATCCGGTTTATCGACATCCATTGACTCTTCGCTGTGGATTAGAATAGACTCTTTCGACTGTTCGGTTACCGTTGGTTCCTCGTCTTCTACTAACGTGGACTCCGTGGGTTCGTTACCTTCTGTTAACTTTTCTTTCTCTTCACCCGCTTCGACTTGCTCATCTTCGGCCGCATTCACGGACTTTCCTGAGATATTCTTTTCTAAATTCAATGAATCTTTCGCAGAAACTTTCGCATGGGTAACTTCCTCAGTCCCTTCTGTTTCAGCTACAGTTTCCCCGAGCTCTGTTGGCGTTTCGCATTCCTGACATTCGCCCGACGAATCTAAATCTATAACCTCCTGGTTGGGGTTTTCACATTCACCGACCTTATATACTTTCTCATCCTTATTTGTATCTTCATCAGATGAAATCTCTTCTAGATCATTGGCAGGTGATTTATCTTCCGTGTTTAGTTCTTTGCTTGACTTGATCTTCTTGGAGTCCTGAGAGGCGAAGGCATCAAACTCATCGGAACTGGAAATGGTCTCTAAAGCATCCATAAACACATCATCTGTTGATGTGTTTTTCCGGTTCTTTTCAATGCTTTTCGCAGTATGTGCTGTGACTTCATCTTCATCATCTTCCTTTGACTTTAATTTTTCATCTATTAATGCTTCTTTACTCTCTCCTTCTGGCTCAGCCAAATCATCGGTATTCTGTGTGGATTCGATGGCTGGAGCGTGTTCTTTAGTTTCGTCTACTTTCTCCTCAGTCTTTAACTCAGAATCCGCATCGACGCACTCTTCTGCTTCTAGAGAACTAGGCACCTCTTCTCCTTCTTCTTGTTCTGGTTTTTCTCTTTGCTCTGTACGATTTTCGTCCGTATCAGCAGCTGTTCCCAACTTCGTCGACACAGAGTCGCATTCCTCGTCTATATCGAGGGACTCAAGATCGTCGGAATTCTTAGGACTGCAAGCCACAATAGAGCTTATCTTGTCAAGGAGCGCGTCCAGATCACTGCCTGGATTACGTTCTCGTTCCGATATCTTTTTCGTTTTGTCAATAGCCTTGACGCTATCGGAGGTATCGACGTCATTGATGAGCTCACAAAGATTCTCTTCATCGACAGACGTTAGACTGGATTTGTTGACAATTGCTGTAATTCAGATATCGATATACCCCAATCGGATTTATACAAATTATAAAGTCGTTCTTACCAGGGGTGGACAGGGGTTCTGAGGATAGGGTTCGCATCAAAGCCTCCTCTGTAGAGAGTTCCTTAAGTTCCATGTTCTGGCTTACTTCCATCATTTTCAATGTTTTTTGTTTCCACCGATTTATTCAGACGTCATTGAATTGCTAAAAGAAAGTAAAACAATATTATAGTATGCGACAACTTACAACTTGAACACTCTGGGAATGGTAGTCCTGTTACAATGACGGACTACCCCCAAATCCCTATTTTTTTAAATATAGTTTTAGTCTGGTTTTTGAGCTTCATAAGCATAAAAACACATTTAAAGGAATGCTCCTTAAAAAACGTCTGGAAATAGCTTTTAAAAGAAAGCTCTATAAAAGCTTAGTTCTCAGTATTCGCCAACAAAAATGCTAATGTAATAACTTGAGAATTATACCTTTAATCGAGCTGAAGCCAGCGATATTTCATTCGGACTTCGACAAACTTCTTCACCCGCTTTCTCGAATTAATTTTTAAGCCTTTTCTACCTCTAATATATGCGATTTTTGATATACTGTAGTATTATCTTTGTCGATGTTCCATAGTGAGCTGATCCGAAAAGTCCAAATCCAGGAACATCATAATTCAAGACCAACAACTTTTTTCTTTTTTTTTCGGATTCGATTCTGTGTGTATCTACCTACAGTCTAACTGTGTTGTTGTTTTTGTTGTTGGTTGTCTTAAGTGTTCGTCGCTTTCCGAACACAACAATAACTACACGATTGTAGCGAAAAGACAAAGCAAAGCGTCGATAAATATTCGTGCAAAGGCGAAAAAGTGCGTGACGAAAGATGCGAATAAGGGGAGAAAGGGCAAATTAACTGCTACCTATTAATCTATGCTCAAAACAAGTCATAAAGTGAGATGCATATAATAGTTTCCACTATAAAAAGTGAGGTTATGTTGAGTTTATTGGGTTTTTAAGCGATAGCGTTACGGCAAATGTAATGGTTATATGATGAATGTAATGGAGTGACTTACAAGTTTAAACGTCCTGATACCCTGTTTACGATTTATTTTGATTTAGCTACACTCGAAGAAATCGAAATGAGTTCAACATCTCGCCGCGTTTAGTGCAAAAATGAACGAGGTGAACGCCAAACCAGCTGACGTCGAACGAAAAAGAGAGCGAGAGAGCAAACAGCTGAGAGCGGTAAACGCAGCAGGGGCGTACGGGTAAGCAAGAGGGAGATAGTTGGCAGGAGGGCGTGTTTTGGGATGATATGATAAGATTCGATAATATAATTCTACCCGGAGCTTAAGGAATCCACATTCACATCTTAAACTTTGCCTTTCGCGAAAAATATGCAAAGCTATAGCCGTCAATGTTACAGTGCTCTATGGCAAGTTGGCAGTCTGTTTTGGTATGGTAGTGCCTCAATAAAATTATAAAAATAAATGCAACTGGGTGGGCGTAGGGGGTATAGAAACCGAAACTAAATGAGAAGGGATCTTCGTTAAATCAAAAAACATTGATAACAACGAGAAAAGCAAAGCATTTAATAATAACGCAAATAGAACGCGTTTTGTTGGTCGCGAGCGGCAGGGTAAGATGAGGGAATGGGCAGTTAGAGCGGGACGACTGTATGGTTACAACTTAACGGGGGAACATAATTTAAGAAAAGAACAAACATTATGGAATATCCAATTTTCATAGTACAACAACAAACAAGAGTTAGTAATTAGATTATTTATAGGGGAAGGCGGAAAACAAAAAGCATTAGCGAAGGCTGGAAATCAAAAAAGTAATAGATTACCATACCCTGACGGAAAAAACTTTCCAAACTTTCAAAACTTAGAACTTAGGGTCCGGTCCGTCCGTCCTTCTGGTCTTTCCAAGACGAACTTAGGACCTTGCCAGGATACCGGTTTTGTAGAAAGTTGCGGAGTGAGCGGGACGGACAGAGAGAGCGGCCGGAGAGTAATTGCGAGAGAGAGAGCAAGAGGCCAAATAAATATATATGCACGTGGCTATATATATTTGCCAGTATGTAGGAATTGAATAAAGTTCGCGTAGCCCCGAACACAGCACGACAAAGATACAGCAGCATGGCGAAATCAACAACTACAACACGGGGCAAACACAAATGGAGGCGTAAAGTCGTTATATTTGCGGGTCAAATGCTAAAACCGGCTATACTAACTCTATTTAAGGAGTTGGTCCTACGAGCTACAAATGTACACAGTGCAGTTGGATCGCCCAACTTCGACTTGTTCCGATACTTTTATCAAGATTTCATACTTATGGTCCATTGAAACCGTTGCACATGCACATGTAAAGAACAAATATGTTAAAGGGTCGTATTTTTGTAATCAAAAGTATCTATGGACCAATTTATCCTCCTTAAAGTTCGGACTTGTATTTAAGCCCGTATCGGGCTCTATGTCTATTATAGCTGTCCCGCTCTGGCACCCGCACACACACCAGCTTAGTTCGTTGTAGCAACGGCAAATCGGTGTGAATGTGTATGTATATCAGAATTTGTATGTGTGCGATTTTGCAGCGCATTTACATTCTTTTTAGGTTACGTATCGATTTTGATGCAGAGTGAGGTTAGGTCGAAAAACATCCTAGTTTTTGCATGTTTTACGAAACCAAGGACATTTTTGAAATCACCGCAGCGACCTCTGTAGGATTCTGATATCAGAATTCCAAGAAAGAAAAAACCCCGAAAAACCTAAAACGAGCCAGCAGAAAGCAAAAGCAAAACGGGGCAGCGTTTTTATTCACCTATTGTACAATTTTATGTTTTCAGGGTTGCCAGGTGTGCATTATGTTTGTCTTAAATGTAATATAAAATGTGTCAAGCTGCAGTTAGTGCAAATCAAATGGCATTAATTGAATAATTGCGACCTTGCAGCCGGGCAGGGTTGCCACCGCCAGGTCTTTTATTGTTCTATTGATATGGCATTCATTCAGTTTGTCCCGCTGATATCGCAGTCGTCTAGTCTATATTATAGCATCGTAATGAATCCAGAAATATATCCGATTTCGCCCGATTTGTGAATCGCGGCTACTTGACAACCCTGAAAACACAAATGTCTTCAAAGAGACTCGAACCATATCTGACGTATGGTACCCGTACCCAGCCTTAATTAAAAAAAAAAATTTCAAAAACCCTAAAACGAATCGGAACACCAAGGGAAACATTCGTCTGGACCACCTTATCATAGTGTATTCTAGGTCTATTATAAAAATAACATAGAATGCATAAAATAAACTGCACTTACCTTCCAACTACTCGATAAACTCGTTTATTAACTGATGTGGTCGCGAAAAATATTTGAATATGACATGTGGGTTATCGACAACTATCAAATGTCAATGATTTGAATGAATTTAACAGCTCTTTTGTGATTTGTTTACAATTGACAGGCAATTCTGCTTCCGTTGCCCTTAAACGATGAAGTATGAAACACAGACTAAAAACGAACAACAACAAAAGGTGCCGAAAAGAACCAGTCTATGCACAACTGGTTCCGAAGAGCAGCGCCCAGATTGCAAACAAGTTCAATAGAGATTTGCGCGTGATTCCAGATGCCGGGCACTGATTTCGTGCATCGAGAAGAGATTTATCATGGGCATTTCCAACAATACGTGTTTCAACATTTTAGTTATGGTTTGATTTTCTTAAACATTCTTCTTTTACCTTAAAGTAAATTATAATCTTACGATGTATTTTCCTGTATTCTTTACATTCTTTCTCTAAAAGATGACAACATATTTTACAAAAACATAACCTTTACCTTAGCATTGTATTAAATGTATATGTATATTAAAAAGTCAATAATAGTTTTGTAGAGTTAATGTTTATTCAATAGCTAAGATCAAACATAATTTATTAAACTTTGGATGTTTATACAAGAAACGCACGTGCTCATCTCTAGTTGGAACCAAACAAAATCATATGTTGCTGCTAGGGCTGGATAACTGAACTTTTGATACTAGGGAGCGGAACCACTAAGTGTCAGTTGGAACCACACCAAGATCACCCCTCCCTTTCGCATGCTGTGAACTATATTGTATTGACAAATAAATTCAGTACGTTAGAGTAATATGACGTACTTACGAATAACAGCTATGTACACCGCAAAAATCGTGTTATTTTAGTTGAACGCTCCAATAGGTGAACTAGTGCACGGAGTCGGCATGTGCCAGCCCTGGAGGCGCTTTGTAAAACTAGCTCCAGTTCCGGAGCTAGGGAACCAATGGCAAGCGGAACAAAATAAAAACATCTGTAGATTATAGGTTAATTTGTTTTATAATAACAAATGCGGGAAGTTTTCAATTAAGATGAGCAATCTGCTGAATTTCGCCCTGCGTCAGGGTATCAATTCCATTAAGCGCCTTAGTCTCCAGAGTTTCAGACTGGCAGCTCCGGCCATTGTAACCAAATCGCCGGTCAGTTCTACGATAAAGAGGTTTTCCTCCCAAACCGCCCCCTTCGATGTGAATACCAGTGTCCCCAAGGACATAATTCTTTTTAAGTATGAGAACCCGCGATTCTATCAGATGCTAAACTTTTTCGGAGTCTGTCAGTTTGTCTTCTGGACATATCTTTCGCACTTCGCCTTCACGACGCTGAAGGATGCCCCGGTGGTGGAAAAACCAGGAGAGGATCTAAAGTGGTTCCAGCGCATAAATCTGGGCGATAATAAGTACAGAAATGGTATCACAATCTGTAGTTTTTTGATAGGTGAGACTGCTTTACTACGATGCCGACGAAACCCATATGAAACTCACCCAACATTTTAGGATATGGCATACTGTTTGCTGTCTGGATGTTTACGCTTCGCTCGGTGCGTTTCCTTATCTTGAGAAAGGGTGGTCAGAGCGTCTCCTTTGTGACCTACGGACCTTTCAACCGGAATCGCATTATGACTGTGCCTTTGAAGTGCGTCTCCGCCGAGGAATCCCGCAACTTGGCCCGAGTGCAGCTACCCATTAAGGTCAAGGGCAAGACCCTGTACTACGTCTTGGATATGCGCGGCGAGTTTCGAAATGCCCAGCTATTCGATTACACGGCGGGCCTTAAGCGTCGCATTTAAAGGTCAAGTTTTGTTGTTGTTTCGTAGCTTATTATTTGTAAATAAAGATGTACACTAATTAAAACTAAACGGCGGCCTAGTAAATGGGCTCCGGTTTCTGGGTGAGCAGCAGTCCAAAGCGCTTCTTGATGGTGAGCCTCTGGCGCGAGTACTTATCCTCCGGCGAAAAACGTGCTGGATGAGCAGACAAAGTTGGACGACCATCCTCTGTGCGTTTCTGGAAGTGCAACAAGTTGTGACTTTTCTACATAATAAGCATACGTTTTGATAACAATTTACCTTCAGGGTGTAAACGCGATCGCCGTTTTCGTTAATCGTGTACATTAGATACATTTTTGCAGTTTTTGAATTGTTTTTCCGTGGTCAAAGAAGCAGAAAATAAAACACGTGTGGCGTGCGTTTCAGTGTGTTACCATGCTTTAAAAACAAATTAGCGCTAAATAATCCACACTATTTGAGTAGCCATGCTTCAAACCGCGGAATGAGTCCTAGCTAAAAGTCTAATTGCTATCGATTCCCTACCATCTCTAAATATATTTAATTACAATAGTTGGCGGACTTTTTGGCCAGAATGTCAAATAAAGTGGACAAGCTGCACAAACGGGCGTTACGGGAACAACAGAAGCGAATCAAGCCCGGAGAATGCATGAAATACGTGCGCATGGTCATAGATGCCGGATTTCTGGCCATTCCCGTGGGCCAGGAGACGCTGCAGCAATTGAATGCGACGGATTTGAAGTATGAAATAAGAAGCTTGCCCGTGAGCCACTGCATCGTGTGGGAACGCAATGTGGGCCAGCAGACGATTGCTCTGGGCAACAGTCCCACTGGCCTGGACGAGGCCTGGAGACTGGAAAACCAAGTGGTTCAATGGCTATCCGAAAGCAGCTTCCAAAAGGCAGTTAAGGATCAAAGTCTTTGTTGTTTGGGACCCCGATTGCAGGCCTCATTTCCGGATTGCCAGTGCACCATTGCCCTACCAACGCTCCGTCATAGCAAGCATGGCAGCTCGGCCAGCCAGGACGCTCTGATTGAGATGCAGCTGCTCCAGGAGCTGCACGTGGAGCAGCTCAATAAGCCGGAAAGCCAGGAACTAGTGGCCCTGCTGCAGCGATATACAAAAGCTATAGCCGAAGCCCCCTATAAGAAGCAACGCAACGAAACATTGGGAGGCTTCAAGAAGTACCTGGCCAACGACAAGAAGCAGTGCGTCCGAGTGGATCAGGGCAATGGATACGGACGTCTCTGGCAGCAACATCTGAATCGACTGCCACAGGTCACCCTGGAAGTGGCCGAGTCCATTATAGCCCAGTATCCGTGTCCCAAGAAACTGATTGACCACTTTTCCAGTGATCCACTGGCCGTCCAAAGTCTCGCCGATTTGAAGATCAAACGCTGCAATGGACCGCAACCGCTTCACACCGAACGACGTATTGGAAATGTGCTCAGCAACAAACTGTTTACATTGTATACTGCCAAGGACCCCAACACTCTGATCTAAACTAAACTGTAAGAATTTTAAAACTTACTTATAAACAAATATTTTCTTAGCTTTAGAATCTGCTCATATATTAGCTTCCTAAAGTATGTACAATTAGAATTAGGTTTTAAGTTAAGAGCTAAATATTTTACATTATTTTCTCATCGTATAAGGTATAATTTAAAAATCACAATGTTCCTATACACATAACTATGAATTCAATTAATTGTGGTTTGCACACCTGAAGAATTGATAATATGTCCGTTCGGATGACGGAACTCTGTGAACATTGGATTAGGCGCGATGAGGAGAATGAAGTGGTGGCCATGGGCAATGAAAAACTTCAGTCCGTGCTCTACAGCGTGGCCAGAATCCGGGTGAATCCCAGGCAGGCGGAGACGATGGTCTGTCCGAGGCCCCAGATCATGGCGTATATGGGTGACATTGGCAGACTGGAGGCGCGATGAACAAAGGCGATGACCGCACTGCTGATGATGCCACTCGACGCCGGCGACAGGAATCCCATGACCAGGATCAGGATCGAGAAGAAACGTCCGAACTTGTGCTTCCGGAGTGTGAAGAAGGCCACGACGGCGGCGCAGGTGTGGATGAAAATGGAGGAGAACAGGGCCCACAGAAACACATGGTACCACATCTCGCGAAAGGTATTGAGACGCGCCTGTGACCGGAGTCCCATCACATCGGCGATGGTGTCCAACTCATCGGTGTCGTCCGAAAACATGGCTAAAACGCAGTCGATGCAAGTTAACGTGGTATCCCCCTAATTACTAGTTGCTAGTTATTGCTTTTCCGTTGGTCAGTTGAGTGTCCAGCCGCATGTCTGGTGGCGATTCCCTTATAGCATATACCAGCCAATATTCACGGACCTGGAAAGCAACACGCTCCCTTCAAACTTCAGACTTGACCTCTTGGCATTTAATTGAACTCACGCCAACACATGTGTGTGCTATAAGCCACACCCACACCGCATTCGTCGTATCCTATAGCCGGGATTCAGGTTGCAGTCTCTTCCAGTTGCTTGATCCTATATAGCATGGCTTTAACTTCCGCTTAGCACTGTAGTTTAGCAAATGTTTGGCTTATTTTTAATTCGGTCAACAATCGATTAAACTTTCATCACGACACTCAATTAGCCCTCTGCTGGCGGCAGTGAATCCTTAATAGGGCTTTATTACCAGGCTACTGGTGTGCGGCATCCCTAACTCCACATTTTGAGCAACACAAAGCACTTTTAATGGTTTTAATTTAATTTTATACTGTTTTTGGCTGCGTTTTACAATGGCAATGGAAATGGAACGTTTGGGAATGGGCCAGTTCTGATAAGCAAACAGCTGTGACTCACTTACGAACTGGATCGGAGCTCGAAGTGCAGCTCTATATAATCGTATTTGAAATATCCGCATACAAGGCAGATATTGTAGTGAGAAAACACAGGTTTCTTAGGGTATTAGCTTTAATAAGTTGTGTGCAAATGCTCAGCTTTCGGCTAAAGCCTATAGTTATCGCTATCGAGCCGCAATAATCGGCGAACTAGTTCCGCGAAAACCGTCTTGGCACAAGTGACAACTCTGCAACCAATCCATAAACAAAAAAATTTTGTGTAAACGAGAAACAAAAAGCGGAAGCTGAAAAAACAACACATTAGCATATAATTTGGCCCCTTATGATTTGTTAAGTTTCTGTTTTGGAAAATGGAATGCTGAGACAGCCCTGAACAGATGTAAGTCGGCCTGCCAATATGACACATTTCTACCGAGACGACCAAACATACACACGTTCATATGTATGTACACATACGTATGCATGTATGTAACTGCATCCATATATGATACATGTATCTTACGCACTCTCGGCTATATACATACATATATGCTGCATATATGTGTGAACCGTCAATCGGAGGAGAGTCGGCTGAAGTTAAAGCCATTCATTTAAAGTACACATCCAATGGATATATACAGATTTTTAACCAGCATATGCTTGCGAACCAAGATTAATCAAAGGCCCCACCATTGCAGACTTCATATACTTCAAGCCCCTCAAAACCAACGACGCATTTAATCAATGTTCTCCAACGGATTGCCGTGCAATCTGTCGTTTCCGAGCTGTCTCAGTGTACCAAAAGACGAGATCGGTAATGAAGAGCTCCTGCCATCCAATATGGGTACTCGCGAGCCTGTTATACTCAATGTCTACGATATGGTACGTTCACTCCGATTTGCCCATTCCTCATCGCAAAACTATAAATGTTTTATTGTGTTTGCAGTACTGGATCAACGAGTACACCACCTCAATCGGCCTGGGCGTATTTCACTCCGGCGTAGAAGCGTTTGGCACCGAATTCGCCTACGGCGGACATCCGTTCCCGTTTACGGGGGTATTTGAGATCTCACCGCGGGATCACGACGAGTTGGGCGATCAGTTCCAGTTCCGGCAGAGCATTCAAATCGGCTGCACCGACTTCACGTACGAGGAGGTGCGACGAATCGTCGAGGAGCTGGGAAATCAGTTTCGGGGCGACCGATATCATCTCATGAACAACAATTGCAACCACTTTTCGGGCTCTTTAACTCAGGTGAGGCATAAATCGCGCAAATTTTCCACTGGGTGGATTCAATATCAAGCAATATTTTTGGGTGTGCTGATAAATGATTCACCGTCAGATACGGGTCAGTTACAAACAGAATTTTTTATAGTGAATCACCTTAAAAAGTAGGACAAATTACCTTCGCGGAATCTTGAATGCATGTAATGCAATAAGATACTTTAAAATAACTGGTGCTTAGAAGAAAATGCAAGCTTTAAAGCCACAATAGACTTAATGATAATACCACTAATGCTAATTACTCTTTCCAGATACTTTGCGGCCAAGAAATACCCAGCTGGGTCAATCGCTTAGCGCATTTCAGCTCCTGTGTGCCATTTCTACAAAGATGTTTGCCAAAGTAAGCCTACCTAAATGAAGCAAATGCCATGTTTGTGTTATTAACTATATAATGCTGATTTTTAGAGAATGGCTGACACCGAATGCCTTGCAGCAAAGCATTACCACAATCCAAGAACGCGAAGACTCCGACAACAGTCCCCTTTGAGACGTTACCTGACCGAAAATATGTCACTTGGCGACACACAAGCGATCATAGTTCACATCCAACAACAGTCCTAAGACCAACATTGTTAAGTTACACAGAGCGATAAGCCGGGTTACTCATGTCACATCAATTTCCAAGCCAACAACGCCCCTAAATAGAAATCAACAACTATTATGAATAGACTTAAATTAGGCGAAATACATACATACTTACATAGAACATAACTACATTGAGACATACTTATACATACATGCGAAGTGACTAAATTATTGGCTATTGTAATTTGTATTTGTAATATTACTATTCAGAATTAAGATATTATTAAGTGGCCGATAAATTTAAGTAGCAGGCGCCGTTCAGCAGCAGTGTCATTTATAGAATTTTAAATTAACTACGAAGACATCGAGAAATCATCATAAGGCACTTGCTAAAATTGTACTAACAATACCGCAGACATATTGGTGAACAATATCAAAATGTTGCCCAATTTACTTGTTTACTTTTGTCAGCGGTGGGGATTTGGTTTTTTTTGAATCCCCACCAACCATCGCTGCTCGATTATTGAGATGATTTCCTGGTTGATTTCGTTTACACAATTATACAGAGTTCATAAGCCGCATGTCTATCAAAACACCAAAATGATCTGTTATCAATAAATATATGTACTTGACATTCTGATATTTACACATGCATAAATACTATTATTAAACATTTTTAAAGAAAAATATATTTTGATCGAAAACATTCGGTTGCGTTTCATTTTTTCTAGAACGAAACTCCTGAAAACCTTATTCGGTTTTCATTCTATCCTGAAACTCTTCTGAAACTCAATTAAATACAATCAAATATGGGTATTTTATAATTTCAAACTAAATATTTTTATAACTTACGCTGAATTTAAAGAGCCAAACTCGAGTGATGAACAAATTGCATGCATAACTTTGTATTAAATTTATATATTTTAGACCCTCCAGATTAGATTCATCAGTTGGAAATAAGTTAACTTTTCTTTGTAGTTTAAAACTTGATTACAATTAAGATAAATATGTGGGGATTTGCTATGTACAATGGGAACATCTGATTACCGGATTACCGAACTCAAACTAGACTCGAGACATTGTTGTAGAGGCCAACGGCGGACAGCTCGTCAAGATCGATTTCATTGGGCGGAAGATTCGGAAGAGGCCAGTTCCTTGGCCGATGGTTAACATGGGGCGGCACAATGGCGTGAAAGGTGGGGGACTGTAGTGGCCTGTAGGCTGCGGCATCCACGTAGTCCCCTGGTCTCGGAGGAGCATTTGGTTGTGAAATCCTTCCCACGTATAGATCTTCACTGCGATAGAGACTCGCATTTGGTACGTAGCCGGCGTGCATCCTTCTCTGCGGGTTTTGTGGGATCGGTGGACGGTGGGGCAGTTCGTGGAAGTAGGCATCTTTGGGTATGTGTCTCTCGGGCAGCCCAAATTGGGTGGCAGTCCGGTGGGGAATACTATAGGTGGGCGATGGGTTCGAAGAGGTGCCCTCTATGTGGTGGAAGTTATTGTTCAAGCGGGAATGTGATCTTGCCGCGATCACATGTGCGGTCTGGTAATCCTGGCTATTGGAGTCAATGGTGTTTTGGAGTTGGGCCACCATATCCCTTACCTGCCCAGCGTTAGGCCTCTTTAGGCACTTAATTTCACTGTTCCGAATCTCCACCTTACTCATATTTTCATTGCCATTTTGCCTCACTTCCGTTTCCTCGGCATACTCCATGATGGGGTTGGAGTAAAATAAATTCGACATGATGGGATAATTGTCTTCTAAGCAAAGCGGCTGCCGTTTCATCAGATTGGAGATACCTGCCGCCTCGCTTGCCTGCTCCTTGTACAGCAGCTTGTCCCCTCCCATTCCCTCGGCGGTTTCATTGACAGCCGTCTCCTCTTTGCCCAGATCTGCGAAAGAGGCATCTTTTCGGAGCGCCTTTATCACGGAGTTCAGCATGTTCTCGCCTCTCCCAATCCGCTGGTAGTACTTATTGTAATCTGGCTGGGGATTACTGCCCGTGGGGGATGCCTCCCATTCCCAGCTGTTGGAGTTCTGGGAGGGATTTGAGGTCTCACTGGAGTTCGGATAGCGCCGCATTACGTTGGCGTACTCGTCGAAATTGGGACTATTAACACTCTCTTTATCTTCCCGAAGCTGGGCGGACTCCGGTCTTGGATGGGGATTATAGGGTGGCGATAAGGAAGAAAGCTGGTGCTTGCCCTCCTGTTCGCTGTCCCTTTCCATGATCAGTGTGGTTTTCTCCAAAAGCACACCCAGTCTTTCGGATACTTTTAGGAAGTCTAGCTTTAGTTCATCTAACTTCGAGTGCTCCAGTTGCTCCTCTGGCTCCGCCTCCCCTTCCACCTGGTCCTTATCCACCTCTTCTGCCTCAGCCTCTTCGCCAGCTTCATTGGAATCTTCATCGCTGTCGCTATCCAGCTGGACCTCCGCTGATCGGTGTACTATAGCTTCTATAGCCTGATCTTCGAGGACATCTACACTCCGTGAGTTGGTGAGCCTACCACCTTCATGGTTGCTTTCCAAGAGCTCTAGACTGCGGCACCTGGACATTGTTCTTTCGATCCTTGTGTTTTTGTTCTGCTGATCGAAGGTGGAGCGCATAGGCTCCCCCCTTCTCAGGAACTCACTGAGGTGCTGCCTTTTGCTCTCGCATCTCATTCTGTCCTCGATCATCGTTCTTGTGAGCTGTTCAATCTGATCGTTCGTTTTGATTGCCAATGCCTGAACTTTGTGCCCTAAACGTTCCTTGGTTTTGTGAACGTACTTCTTCAAACTCTTTCGATTGCAATTCAGTTTGTTTTCAATATGTCGGAAGAAGGGACCGCAATAGCAAGTGTTGCCCACGCTGACCGGACCCTTGTGAATATGCCCCGCCAAATCCAGGAAATATTGTTCCCCCGACTTAAGTGGCTCCTTGGGCAGTGTCTCTAGTTTTGGTGATGGAAAGGCACGCGGGTCGGGAAAGTAATGGCAGCCATAGGGTGACCAGTTGATACCCTTGTCCACCACATCCCTTTCTCGATCTCTCTCCTTGTCCGACCTGCTGCCGCCCTCCTTAGGTTTCTCTTTGCGATTCCGTATCTTCTTCGGTGTGTTCAGGATCTCGATGATTTCTCGGTAGTTCTTCCTTATCGCTATGTGCATGGGACAGTCGCCTTGTGCGTTTTTAATGCCCAGCCGAGCATCTGCCTCTAGGAGAATCCTTGTCAGCTTTCTGCGTCCCATGGCACAGGTGATGTGCAAAGCGGTGTCACCGTTCAGATTCGTTTTATTCGGATCGCAAAGGGCGGAGAGCAGGAT